ACCGACGTACATGTACATGTACTCTATACTCTCGCCATGACCGAGGTACATGTACATGTACCATACCTGTACTCACAGGTTGCGGCTTTCATTCATGCGTTCATGAGTAACATGCTCTAACTACGTTTCTGCAGTGACAACTATTGTTGTTTATATTCCACGCATTGTCATTTCTCGTCTGTTCTATTTCATCGAAATTTCGTGTGAATACGTTGTAAATAGGTCACCTCCTAGAAAAAATGAAAGAAATCAGGAATTTAATTTTGGAGCAGGACAGCACCAGCACCAAGAGGAACACTGAACATGGTGGTCGAACAGTTTGGGAATTCTTCACTGCTCCTGGAAAAGAACCACAATTCAAGACTTTACCACTGCAGTTGCAGAAATGGACAGTTTGTTCAAGGATTTCTTTGGAAACATGAACAAGAAAGATGGCAATTCTTACCACAGGAATGGTTTCTCAAGTATCCGTTATGGTATTGCAAGGTAGAAGTATATTAGGAAACACAAGAACATTGACATCACTTAAGATCTAAACTTCAGATCAGACAGTGCATGTAAAGCCCGGCAAGCTGAGATGAAGAAATCTGGGTTTGGAAAGGTGAATCGATTTCACCCTCCCCTGGAAGAACATGACATTCATAAAATGCACAGTAACTTTGATGTAACAAACAAGTGAGCTCACTGGTAAAAGGTACATGTACAGTGTACTATTCCATATTATGCTTTTCTTGTGCCGATGTGGAAGAGAAAATCTGACAGACATGACCGCAGATCACTTCATTGTGGACAAAACATCTTAAGGACAATGTGTGCGACAAGTTGTTGAAGAACATCACAAAAACCACACCTTCATGGATTACATGTACCAGGACTACGCAGCTACCGATGGCATCATGCTTGAGAGACCAGGTGAGTATGAACTATTTGGCCAATTACTGTACCATTTTGTAACTCTGAAACCTTATAAAATATGCTCGTCACAGTGCATGACAGTTCAGGAAGCCAAAGAAATAGTCCATAAACAATAGTTTCTAAGAGATGCCCTCAAATATGATTATGAAATTACAGCCAAACTATTCATTAATTTTCTGCTTATTTTTTGTTTTTAGACAGCCCACTGTGCCCTGTTGCAAGCTTCGAATTTTATGTGAGCAAACTTAATCCTTAGTGCAAATGGCTGTGGCAACTTCAGCACCCCAATGCAAAGGAAAATGACCAAATTTGGTAAGTAAATGCTCCACTGGGAAAGAACATCCTTGCTTCGCTGATGTACCCCCTCTCATGAAAGTGGCCTATCCAAAGCATACACAAATCATTCCGTTTGTGCCACATCAGTGACGATGCTTGATGAAGTCAGTTTCAAGGACAGACACATCATGAAGGTAAGCGGCCACAAATTTGAGCAGACCATTAGGACATATGCCGGTCGTATAAGAGACTCAAAAAGGTGTGAGATGTCGTATGCATTAAGTCATGTAAATAAAGCTGCTCTTGGGACCAGTTGGGGGTACAGCTTCTTGCTCACACCTCATCTCAACCCCAAGATTGAAGCGGCTTTTGCAGAAACACACATAAATGTATGTGTACTCTCTCTTCTAGAATCCCAGTTGTTGACTACCAAGACCAACGTGCAACCTGGTAGGGTATTAAGCACCATGTAAGAATACACAGTTTTAACAGAAGAGAGTCAATGGAAAAAGGTCATTCTACTTCATGGAAGTACGCGTACAAGTCTGCATGTACCTTCACATACTGGGTACGACAGTAGTACATGTACCAATACATGTGCTTGTACTTTGATTTTAAAATGAAATCCCTTGGACATGTGGGACACCTCTGCGTCAGGCATCATCATGATGCCCTAATAAATATTGCCACATGTACCGCATACATGTATGTACATGTTAGAGTGAAATTAATTTTGTTACAGTAGTTATGTTTAATAGTAGTAGTCTTGAATATTGGATGATGAGTACAGTTCCACGTTCTACATGAACTGGTACGTGTAAATAATAAACACTGTATTTTGTCAACTGCAGTTGACTAACACATACATGTACAAGTGACTTTTTCACATTACATGTATTATCATTGGGATCAAAGGAGAAAGTTGGACCTTCAACTAATGTTTACAATCTTTGGGTGAGCAACATCAAACCCAGCAAGTTTGGCTTGTTGGTCCAGTAGCATCTTGACCCATAAGCCATACTTGCTGGGTTTGATGTTGCTTACCTAAGGATCCCAATCTACATGTACATGTACACGTACATGTGCATCTGGATGTACATGTACATGTGTGTGGTGTACGGGTAAATACATGTACATGTATACATGCATCGTACATGTAGCAACCATCATACTGGTACATACATGTAACATTTATTGGTACTTACTTCCACCTGGTGATAAAAGCTTTGTATGAAGTACTTGTAGGCAGAGTAAGGGGCTTTCCATCAGCAAACACCTGGCAAGTCACACACAGATCAGAGCACCTGTCCTCATATAGCCCAGAAAACCGCAGTTGGGGGTCGTCAATGAGAGACTTGTATGACAGTCTATCTCTCTTTCCTTCAAGCGTTCCACTGCTTAGCAAAATACATGTACATAAGACGAAAATTATGATTAACATGTACACGTAGGATACCAATGAGTGCATTTTATGTTATTTTATAGATATAAGAATTCATGCAGTTAACTTTGCTGAGTTTAATCATGCCAACACAGTGTGATGTGCCAGTGTTTTCAGGTTTTGGTCTTCCTGCACATACAGAGATACAAGTACATATGTACATGTAATGGCATATCCCACAGGGTACAAGTATGGTACATGTACATAACTTGATCGTTCCCATGACTGACATAGCTGAAAGTGCCATTTACAATGAACATGTAGAGGACACATTGTACAGCCACTACGGTACTACATTAAATCATACATGTACCTGTATGTACATGTACATTCGTATACCGTACATGCATGTATGATACATGTACATGTACATTCGTATACCGGTACATGCATGTATGATACATGTACATGTACATTCGTATACCGGTACATGCATGTATGATACATGTACATGTACATTCGTATACCGGTACATGCATGTATGATAAATACACCTGTATGTGCTGTGGGGGACAGTGAAGCACTACAGCATTTGTATAATTTGCACTAGTCAGCCCGTTTCAGTGCTCATCAACTCATCGACCACTGCCTAGTGTACCGGTACACATAGTTTTGGCTCGATTTCCAGCAGATCCAGCAATCTGCATTTATTCTGCTCTGGAGGGCTACATTCATCACACATGTCTGCTGCAGCGTATAAGCAATCAACATAAAACAAGATTGTTTCTGTCCTTTGGGAAACCCCATCATCCGGTTGTTTCTTCCATGATAGCTCGATGGTTGAAAATAGTGATGGTATCTGCAGGTATTGATGTCTCACATCATAAAGCACATTCCACTCGAGCTGCTTCGACTACAGCTGCGGCTAGACTTGGGGTCTCTACAGCCCAGATTTTACTCCTGGCAGATTGGTTGTCAGTGAGAACCTTTGCCAAGTTCTACAAGCGAGATGTACCATCTTCAGAGGAATATGGAAGAGCAATCCTGTCTTCGGCATCACTGTGTGACAAAGTGAGTCTTGACAACGAGGACGAATACCGGTATAATTTCCAATTGTGTAAGGGTCTTACCTGCCATATATGAGGCCGAGGAGAGACTCACCTCCCGCCCTCGGTGCCTTACTTTTCTACAGCATCCCGCCCACACTGTCCTCAGACAGGACAAATACATACATCAATCTACAAAGAGACATGCTTCAGTGGTTCGAGGGGGGCTTGGCATTTGCATTTTTACAAATGAAGGAATCAACCATTTCTTCAAAGGGTGGTGCAAACCCTACCACTAGGGACAACAATACATGGTGAGTCTCTCCTCCTTGGCCTAATATAATTCCAATTACATGGCAGGTAATACCCTTACATAATTGGAAATCTTACTGCATGATTTTTCAGTAATTTTGACATCAGCTAATTTCCTTTTCTAATTCATGGCTGTGAAAGGTTGAAAAGAGAAGTCAAGTTACAAATTTCATGCAGGATTAACCAATCACGCAGAGCAATCAGGCGATCATGCAGATTGGCTGATCAAGCCCATCAAAGATATAATCCAAATAACGACAAGAACATAATATCAAACCAGTGCTCTGAAATATATGATTGCCGAGCTTTCGGTAACTGAGTGCCTTCTTCAGGGCAAGTTACTCAGTTACCGAATGCCTGGCAATCACATATTTCAGAGCACTGATTTGATATAATATTCTTGTCGTTATTCTGATCACGGTGCTACGCAGCCCTTACATATTTCAAAGATATTATTCAACCTGGTCTAGGCCAGGGTAAAGAACATACACATAAGGCATACCAAGGGTTCATCCCATGCCACTTGGGCAAACCTACTGGATTACTACATGTACCATATATCCTGGAAGAGTCTATCATTTTCCATTTCCAAAAACAGGCATTTTTCGTTTCGTGAAATCTGCCGTTTTATACCTTAGTAAGCATAAAAATGAGAGCAAGTTACTATAAACTGTATGTACAATGTATGTACCGCTTGGCATGGAAACCTTTGGCCCAACTTTATTCCCCCTCCCTCCCCCCAAAAAGAAAAACCAAATAATCTGTTTGGAAATTGTTAATACACTGCAATGTTTCCAACTTTTTATACATACTTTTCTGTTGCGAAAATTAACGGGTTGCCCTTTGCTTTTCATCAAAGACTTTAAAGGGCCTATTCACCTGCTTGTACATACACTGGTACATGTATGGTACACCAAGCTCACTAGGATTCATTTGAAGGACCTTGGAGTAGAAGTAAACAAAAGACCTTTTAAATCCATATNTACATGTACATGTAGAGTATGTACATAGCCTGTTGCCGTGGAAACAGCTCATTTTGTATTTTAGACATTTTAGGCTGACTCACATGTGCCCAGTAGGGCTCTGAAAACTGGTTTTTAGCTTGTTTAAAAGTCCATTTAACTAAATACAAAAATAATTTATAAAGCCACAAAAAGTTTACGTGTTTATCCCTTTAAGTACAAGTACATGTACCGGTAAACTGTAGCACCCTTACCTCTACTTGAGAGAGAAAAAGATTATCACTAGTGTATACTAAGTTTTACAGTATTGCATTGAGGTACCGTACATGTATATGTATGGTTTAGAACTTGCAAAATTCACATTTTTGCCATACATGTACATGTATTTTTGCTCCTCAACCAGACTAAGATTTGTCCAGTAAGAGTTGCTGGAAAGATTTACCGGTACTTCAATACCCCCTCCAGAATTGGTCAGGAACACCAAATAAGTTATTTTAAAAATAACTATTCAGGAAAAACAGGTGAAAAATTGGGCATAAATACACATGCATGTACTACCCTTGAACACCTTGAACATCTAAAACAGAAAACTGTTGCATGAAGATTTCCCGAGATGACGCTTGTGCTACATGTACATGTAAGCATTCATTTAATTCTGAACACATATGGATAGTTATTTTTGAAGATTTTTTGTGGTCCCAAACCAATTTGGGTTGGGTAATATAGTAAAATCAGATACTGCACATGTGTCTGGCTAAATATTGCTTTGCTAAATTCACTGGCAAGGCTAAATATCAACTGCCAATAAATAAATTAATATCCCAAAGGACTTTAGGAATCTTAGGGGTGTAAATATTAATGCAAGCAGAGAAACTCCTTCCAATGGAAGAAACAAAACTTTCTTAACCCTAACAGTCCTCAGTCCTTCACCTGTTGGAGGACTGAGGACTGTTAGGGTTAATGCACTGTAGGGAATAATTCCATACTCATTGACCACTTCTTTTACATTTTTAGAGCCCGAACAATTCAAACAAAAAGGGGTGTCAATATTTTTGAGGGGTTAGAGCTGTGAAAGGGGCTTTGCACAGTAATTTTAAACCATACACGACCCAGACAGCAATGAAAACTGTCAATCTATTCTCAATCACATCAATTAAAACAATTTAGTAAGTCTTCAGAACTTACATTTATGTACAGTACTCCAAAGATCGTACAGCACCGAAGGCGCAAGATGGATAACTCTGCCCAAAAGGTGTAAATCCCACGGGCGCCATTTGAGCAAGTGATACATCTGTGCAGTTCACAGTAATACACAGGCGCAGGTGCACCAGGTGAACATGCCTGCCACGGCGCCTGCGCTTTAATGTGCACTGCGCAGGCGTATCGCTTGCTCAAATGGCAACCATGAGATTACAACGTTTACGTGTATTCACGGTGAAGTTCTCCACGCCATACGATCTTTGCTATACTCAGAGTCCTCATGGGTTTTCAGTTTGGCCACAGAGACGTTTTACAATGGACACATTAGCAAAAGCACATCATTATTGTTCTCCATAAACAATGGCACCCTCTACTGAAAGTAATTGAGATTTCTGGAAGGAACACGAACCCTGTGGCTACCGCAGTTTTAAAGAGACGATCACCTCAGTTTGGAACGGACAACTGAGATTATGATGCATTTGTTTTTCATCATAACGTTACAGGAAAGGAAGGGTAAAAATGACCAAAAAATTATGTGACTTCATTTCAATTCTTACTTGTAATATTCTTGAACTTTAGTGCAAATTTCAATGTTGTTTTTTTTCTCTTTATTTGTGAGGTAGTATGTCAATAAAGCGAGCTCCTCACTTGGTCTGGGTCCCTTTTTTGCCAAGCGTTTTTTTAAAAAAACATATGAAGCAATCTGGAGTATTGAACAACTTGCCTCTTCCTACTGACCTCTCTTTTCCCTTTAATCACATTTTTCAATTCTTCCTAAAGAATCCATATTCGTTGGGAGACTGTTTCCTCGGTGCATCTTGACCCTGCAAAGTTAGGGTCTGGGATTATTTTTCAGGTGATCTCAATGTAATTGGCCTCTTTTGTTCAAACCATTTCCTTTTCAATTATTTTGCAATTATGTTTCTGTCCATGGAGGCACATGTAGCTCTACATGTACCTCCATGTTCCGTCATAATTGTTATAGTTCTGCACAGCGAAAAACTTTAGTTTTTCAGATTTATTTCTTTCTCGAAAGTTTTCATCGACATTTCTATGGAAATGTGTTGAAATATGTCACAATTAAAGAGCTGAGTTCCAAATTAAATTTGGCCAATCACAAGGCACAATGAAAAACACTGCTATTCCAGGTGGGAACAGGTCAACTCGTACCTTGGACAACTCATACCTTGGACAACTCGTACCATCAACTCAACGTACATGTAACTGTACCAACTCGAACCTTTGCCAAGCCGCATTTTGGGCAACTCGTACCTTCACGTATGAGTCAGTATGTACCTTCACAGAAATCAGAGCTTGCTCAGAGCATATTATTCTAATTAGCTTGAACAATAATTTGATTTCTTAGTCATGTGTCCATCACCTAATTTGCTGTTTTGGCTACACTGCCTTCCCTACACACCGGTGGGGTGACATCAATGCGAAAATCACATTAACGTGAGAAGCGTTTCCATCATGCGCGGTCAGGCAACTGACGCTAGTCGACGTGGCCAGCCGTTGTTGCATGCATTTCAGAATCTTCATCGTGCAGTCCACCATTATGTTGAAGTGATGTCAGGTTTTCATTTACTTCAAAGGTTATGACATAATGTCAGTTGTAACTTGTCCACAAAAAAAAAGTTTAATAAGGAAGGCAACCACTTCCCTCCCCCCAAAAAATTAAAAAACAAGACCTGAGACATTTCCAAAAGAAATCAAGACAACAAGTTTTATTAAGTACATGTTCATCCCCTCCCCCAGTTTAGTAAAGCCCCCTAAGGAAAGTTAATAAAGAAGTCAAGCTGGTAAACGGGCAGGTTTTTTGACATCTGTCACGTTTACCAGCTTGACTTGTGTACAAATCATGCTGGCGCTTGAGATCTCTCCAGGAGATTTATGAATATTTTTCCTTGATATGTTTGTCAAATCTGATCTTAAACATGCTGAAAAGGCAGAGGAAGAAAGTTACAACTGAACTGATAACATGAAGGTACGAGTGGTCTTAACTCAAGTTACGAGTTGCCCAACATGCCCAAGGTACGTCCAAGCAAGGTATGAGTTGCCCATGCCATGGTACGAGTCATCCAAGGCACGAGTCATCCAAGGTGCAAGTCGCCCAAGGTGCGAGTTGACTCGAAAGCTTCCAGGCCATGACACAACACTAACTTTACAATAAGCACAACTCTAAGCAGTTAGAAATGTCATCCTTTGGCTTGTTTACATGACAAGTGGTGCAAAAAAATCAGACTCTCTACCAGCTCTAGTGTTGGGATGACCATGGAGTTAGAATGGATGACCATGGAGGAATCCTCCACGGGATGACTGACATAAGGCCCTGCCCTGAAAAAAAAGAGTTGTCCGGGCCCCGTAGGCTTAATCTTCATGATCTTGTGATCAACTTACACTTTGATTTGCACACTGGCATTCAGGTCACAACTGTACACATAGTAGAATCTATCAAACTCATCTGCCATGTCGATTTTAGCCGAGCATAAATTTCTTCAATCTTGCAAGCAACCGACGGACTACACTCTGCCGACACTCGCTCATAATGGACTCACCGAGCCGGGGTGAGTGGACTCGACCACTGACCTTTATTATATATATACTGGATTCAACGCGACAAGTGTAGTCCCTTGTTATCCTATTTCTAGACCCAGACTGGGGGCCAGTCTACTGGACTCTCTCCGTGTGCTTGTACGTGTACGGAGGGAGTCCAGTAGACTGGCCCCAAGCTGGGGCTATCCCATTTCGTGCACAATAATGTGGGCTCTGTGGTTATGGCGCCCTCTAGCATGCTGGCCGGAACATTATGCCAGACCGTACGTTTAATAAGGCCGTGTCCGAAACGGGCTTCCAGAGCTACGGCTAGGTCTATTTCTACGCATCCCCACGCATTTGTAATGGAGTGAAGACCTAGACCTAGCTCTAGACAATAGATTCGGATGCAGCCTCAGTTTGATTCTTTTGAACGTTCAGATCACTGCGTCATCTTTCCCTTGTCGTAGTCGCGGGATCAGGCACATCCTATTTGGCTCTTATTGTCGTGTGTACTAATGCTTTTTCATAAAACCTTGCGACTCATACCACTATAAATAGCGTCGTTCGACAAAATGTCTCGAGAAGATCAGTCAAACTCGTTTCATACTAGGCCTTATTTGAGAAATTAAAAGATTATTTTGACAAAACCTTAAACCTCCCCCCCGCCCACCCCAAGTCGACCTAAATTCTCGATCGTCAATATTTTGCGTTTAATCGTTATTGTGGTTTTTGTTATATTAATTCTAATTCCTTCGTTTTGTTTAATTTGGATTCGCATATTTATTCTGCTTTTAATTTTAGCTTTTATTTTGGGTTTAAATGTTCTTTTCTGGGGGCCTTCTTTTTGTTTGTTTTCTTTTTGTTATTTTTTGCTCAGGCTTGTCGAATGCTGACACTTGTTACAGCTACGGGTTGCCAGGCCACTGGGCCAAGCAGTGCCCCCTTGCGTTCAGCACAGGGCCATTCTCTTCCCGTGTCAGACCGAGAGCGAGAGCAGCTCTTGGAAGTTGGAATTGGGTACAACAGTTTCCCTGCTAGAAACATCACTTGGCAAGCCCCCATCATCCAACGATCTCAGATCGCTGCATATCCATCCTCACTGCACCCTGACTTCAATGGCGGCGCCGCACAGTTCAATTCAATTCAGTTCAAGAAAACGTTTATTCCATACTCTTTTAAAAACATTACATTTAATTAAGAGACGTTGGTACGTAGAAATTGACGAAATAAATAAGCTTAAGAAAATACATCAGAAATTTAAGAAACTTAGTACATTGAAATTAGCAATGAGGATGAGAATAACTTTTATAGATATTTAGATACTTATAGATACAAGAGCAGAGGCTTGTATAAACAGCCCTTAAGACATAACAAGGACATAACAAGGACAACACGAACAATTACGAGACAGCAAACAAAAACAAAACAAACTATCGAAAAGAAGATTCCGATTACAAAACATAAAGACAAAACAAAAACTGACGACAAAAAATTATCGGTACAAACTTGTATGATGACGACTAAAAGGTTGTAAGATAAGAGGAGATATTAACAGTAAATACAGTAACCCCTTCCCCCCAAGTGCGTCCAATACCGGGCCTAGATCATCAACCGCCGCAGGGGCATTCCAATCTTCTGCCTGATGTTCGCATTAAGAATCTGGAAGACAAGTTTAGTGAAGTGTTAGGGGTACGGTGAAATTACAGTTCACATACATGTGTTTTAGATTCAGATCAGATTGCTGTCAAAGGCAGATTAGCCAACCATTCTGAATTCTGGTCATTTATTTGGAGCCTCTGTCATGGTCAAATCGGTTATAAACGAAGGGTATAGGATCCCTTTCATTGATGACCCATCCCATACGTTTCTTGACCGTGGATCTGCTAGAATGGAATATGATTTTGCAACTAAATCTGTCCTTGAATTGCAGTCTTCTAACAGAATTACCGAGAAGAATCAGCCATCACATATCATTAGTCTTCTATCAGTAGCTCAGCAAGCCTCCGGCAAAAAGAGACTAATTTTGGATTTGAGTAGACTTAACAACTTTCCCCAGAAAACACACTTCAAGCTCGATGATTGGAAAATAGGATTGCAGGACATTTCGAAAGACGCCTTCATTTTCACTTTTGATTTGAAACCAGGCTACCATCACGTAGATATATAGCAGAGAAACTGATTTTTCATTCGCAAAACAAGTATCCAAACATGTTAGGATTGACCTTTTAAGAGCTGGATTCATATACAATGTAGAAAAGAGCAAATGGGATCCTCCCACTATTGTTGAATGGTCATGACATGGAACACTAAGGATGATACGCTGAAGGTGCTGCCTAGGAGAACAGAATCAGAACAGTATGAGAGATCCAAGAAGCGCGTTCTACAACAATCCGCAAACTGCAGTCTGTTGTTAGTCACATTATTTCCTTAAGTCCAGTGTGTGGAAACTTAACTCGGTTGTGGACTAGGAATTGTCAGATAAAGATTGCACTTGCTTCAGATGAAGATGATGTTATATGCTTAGATTTGGCTCGCAGTAACGGGATAAAATTTTGGAAAGATAATGTTGTCACTCTAAACGTTAGGAATTTATTCACCTTAAATATTATAAGCAAAATTATATGGTGTGACGCTGCACACCATTATATGGTGATGATACTGCACATAAACTGTGGTCAGATGCCGAGTCTAGAAAAAAGCTCGTCTTGGCGAGAACTGAACACCATATTATTTGCCATCACCTCTTTCTTGCCAATCATTCAAAATTCCCAACTTAATATTTTTACTGATAGTCTGCAGCTAGAATTATTGAAGCGGGCAGCATGAAAGCGGACTTACAGGATCTTTCTTTAGGTATTTTCCAGACCTGTTTAAAGAATGAGATTAGCTTAGAAGTTCAGTGGATCCCTAGATACGGAAACGAGCAAGCGGATTTGGTCAGCAGACTCATAGATACAGATGAGTGAATGATCTCTAATCGTTTGTTTCAGATTCAGACCAATGGGGTCCTTTTACGATAGATTGTTTTGCGTGTGGAAACAACACTAAACTTCCAAGATTTTATTCGAGATTCTGGAATCCTGGTACTGACGGAGTAGACGCTTTTGCACAAAATTGGTCAGGAGCAAATTGCCTCTTAGTTCCCCCTGTAGTTCTCATTCCCTCCGTTCTCAAACATATACACGCATGCAAAGGCAAGGGAACTCTCGTATTTCCATGGTGGCCCTCTTCAGTATTTTGGCCTTTACTCTGGTCTAGTTACAGACCATGGATCACAGGGTTCTTATCATTCGAAGGACAGGGTTTATTAGAGCAAGGCAGGAATAAGAATTCCCTTCTAGGTTCCTCTGAATTTTCTGGAGTTATATGAGCAATTAAGTTAGATTTTACCCAATGTAGTTAACCGTGTTTTCTTTTTCTGTGGCATGACAGATTATTTATAATCAACCATTTTGGAAAGAATTCCCCTTCACTTTGCAAGGCGTCAAGAGGCAAATTTTTCAACGCACAATATTTGCGAAGGCCGACGGAACAATTACTTCTTACCTTTATAAATGTAGAAAATTTTTCATTTGGTTGAGAAAATCTAAAATTAAAATTATTCTTCCTGTCCACGATGAAATCATTGCAGCATACATAGTTGATAAAAGGTCAGAATATAACTTAGATAGTTCTTTTATTTCTACAGCCGCCTCTCTCAGATGGCTACACTCACTCGTCAACTCCAACCCTAACCCCATGGATGCTCCCATTTTACAACAAATCGGTATAAGTGGTAGGAAGAATCTTTATAAGCCGCCCGAACAGAAGCTCCCATTGTCATTAAATCAAGTTAAGGCTATCATAAACAAACTTGGTGGTGAAAATAACAAACTGATAGAACTAAGGACCGCTACTTATGTCTCTCTTAAATACGCACTGATGTTCAGCGCAGCTAAAAGCCATTCATTTAACTTTGTTACCGCTTGATAAAGGATTAAGTATATTTATTCCCCGACCCGAAACTGACGTATTTAGGGAAGGAAGTACTGCTTATCTAGTTCACTCGCATGATAAATATTCTCCGTTTTCTTTGTTATTAAGATACATGTATGAATGTGGAGTTAATACTGGCCAAGATGCGTTCATTTTCACCCCTCTTTCTTACCTATCAAGTATTTTCTTATAAACCTTTACCATATAAAGCTCTCGACTATTCCAGATGTAGTGAATTATTTCTAGATGCCTTAAATTAAAGGAAATAGGGGTTCAAGAACCCAAAGCCCATGGCCTCCATAGCCTCAGATCTGGAGGAGCATCGCACCTTGCAAGTAAAGGAATTTCGAAAGACTGTATTATGCAACATGGTCGATGGAAAACTAGTGTAGCAAAAAAACAGATAGGCCCATGTTCATAGAGATTTGGCACAGAGATTGGACATTTCCTCCACGATCTTGTCAAACTAATACGAGTTACACATCTCTCTTTTAAATGATTACACCCCTGTTTAAAGTTTAATTTGTATGAAGTACGAAATTATAATACTATCCTGTCAGATACGTACTCTCAGTAAGAATAAATAAACAAATAAACAAAAATAAATACATTAATTTTAGTAACGATGAATTTCTAAGTGGTATACTTTTACACTAACCATGTTTATATTTCAATTAATCGTTGGATTTATGTTGTTGGTTTTTTTTGGCATCCTAAGGATTTAGACGGTCGGGTGACAAAGATTTATTTTCATTTGAAGAGATTTTCTTTTTATGTGATTTGATTTGTTTTCGTTAAGTTCGATTTTTCTCTTTTTATGTAATTTTTTTCTAACAATATTGAAATGAAGGTGGATATCGGGAGATACCCAAAGGGCCTAGAGGGCTGGGATGAAAGTGGTTTGATTTTCTTTTGTTTTCGCTAAGTTTGATTTCTTTTTTATGTAAATGTTTGTAAAATTTTGAAATGGAGTTGGATACCGGGGAGATACCCGAAGGGCCTAGAGGACCGAGACGAAAGTGGTTTGATTTTGATTGGACTTATTTTATGTTTAAACAAAACTTTGGAAGACCTTGGATACACCCGGGAGATACCCGAATGGCCTAGAGGCTGAAACGACAGTGAATCTGAATTTTCAATTTCGGAATGT